TTCTTTCCTTCTTCACCTTCCGCCGCCTTCTTTTCTTCTTCACCTTCTGCCGCCTTCTTTCCTTCTTCAGCCTCAGCCTCCTTCTTTCCTTCTTCAGCCTCCTTCTCCTTCTTTGCATCCTTCTTTTCTTCAGCCTCGGCATCCTTCTGTTCTTCTTCAGCCGCGGCCTCCTTTCCTTTCTCAGCTTCAGCCTCAGCCTCCTTTGTCTTCTGTGCATCTTGGAGTGCAACAGATTTGGCCAATTCCTGTGCTGACCGCATCATTTGCATTGCTTTCTGCATCATCTCTTCAGCATAAGCAGCATCAAGCCTTGGCCCCAAAGAGATTGGAGCTGGAGGATCCTGATCACCAGTATTGAGCCGCTTCAACTGATCAGCAACTGTCTCGATATCCGTGTCTGTCGACCCTGATCTGGACATTCCACCTCTGGGAAGCACAGGACTGTAGGTGTAGGGAAGTGTCTCTGCAGTTGGTGAATGCTCCCACTGCTTCCATGGTTGATCCCACTGCCGCCATGACTGCCACGTGTCATCTTCACGCCACTGGGAGTATCCTGACCAACCTTCTTCATATACCATCTCCTCATTGCTACGATATCGGACGGCCTGTCCTGGCAAGCCAGCTTGTTCCGGTACCGCACCTTCTTCAGGAGTGATGATAGCTGGTACTTTTGGATCTTTATTTTTGGACTTCCCACCCTTCGCCACCTTCACGATGACCTTTCTCACAACTTTATTCGTACCTCCATCCACATCTCAATAAAGCATCGCAACACATATAATAATGCAACAGCCAGCCTATCTAATACTCACATAGATCAATTGACCGATCTACAAGTACAATGTTCAACCCAAAAGAATGCAAACAAAGCAATGAATACAAATCAGAATGATCGAAATTGTATGCAATGCATGCCAATGCAAAGTTTCTCACGTTCAAACCTGACCTGTGTGGTGGTCTGCTGGGGACGAGCTTGCTGTTGTCGATGATGTATCAGGTTCAAGACACTCACTCGAGCTGCCACTCAGAGGTTCCTCCCCAAGAATCAGCGTTCGGGATCGGTCAATCGGCGAGGTGGTGCCAATCTGATTGGCACGCTCTTTTCTAAATTTAGCTTTCTCCAGAAGATGTTTCATGGCATCGTCCGACATGCCGGACACCACAAAAACACAGTGCAGCTGTAATTGTGCCCACACAGCTGCATAAATATTGAGCAATATTTAAACAATATGATGCAATCTTTCACCTAGTGTATGTTACGAACTCGAAGGTGACACCTGTGAATCACACACACACACATGCAGGATTTTCCACAAGTCTCGCAACGATAGTACCAAATTTGGTGCATCACACTAATCGGAATTTCAGGCCAGATTTTATGGTGCTCTACTTCACGCGCATTCACGGGTAAACTTAGACATTCACGGGTAAA